GGAGTTATGAAAGTCGTGAAAAGATACAGGACTTGTGGACCAGATATGTTAAGTCTACGGAATATCACGACCAGTACTTCGGCAATGATATGTTTGGCAAAGAAGGCTATCGACAAATCAAATGTCCCGTTATTATCATATTTGGCGAAAAGGTATTTGTTTTGTATATAATTTACTGGATTTTAATTTTAATCTAAATTAAGTGTAATTTAAATAATAATAAGTAAAAATGTAAATTTAGGATCAAATCACAGATACTGAACAGTGTTTGCACCTAAACCGACACATCCGGGGCTCAAAACTAATGCGTTTTCCAACCGCTGGACACGACTTTCACCAAAGATTTACCTTAAAATTCAAGATTATATGCGAAGAACTCTTCTCTAAAGTGTAACACAAATATATTCAACAATTAAATGCTAAATCTTTAGCCGTTTATTTACACGCAATGATAGGTTTAATGATTTGATTAGTTATTTCTACAGATAAATAGACCATTTTATGCATAAATTACAAACGAATTAATAATCGACTGCTATTATACTAATCCAAATATAATCTATACTTATTTTGACCCAAATTCAATTAAATCAATCAAAACTTTTGAATTTATGTCTAAAATTTATGATATGTTTTGCATAAAAAACAAACGTGAAATTATCTTCCGTTTAATATTTATGATTAAAAACAAATTTCAAATTATATATTTATATTCAAATTAAAAATTATTTCACTATGATAGTTGATTATATGTTGCATTATAATTGTGGTTTGAAAAATTATAAAATTTTATAAAATTATAAAACGTTCAACATTATACAACTTTAATACAAAAATAAAGTTTAACTGATATTTATAAATGTAAAGTATAAAAACTTTGCAAGTCTATATTTGCAGACTATAAATTATAGTATTTAACGCCTAAATAAAACAATTAAAGCAAAATACTCAAAACATGTAATAATCCTATTTATAAATATATATAAATTTAAATAGAATTAATTTAATATATGACTATCAAGATCATTCTATTGTACTGGATCGTATATGAAACCTGTATTTCCAATAATATTAATAATAAAGATTTTACACCTATGTAAAGGATCAAATTACTTTAGAAATTCTTAAAAAATTTTGGTTTTGATGTATTTAGTGATTTGTTTATTGATAATAGAAACTAAATTCTAATCTTGTTTTATATTTGCACAGAGAATAATACAAGGAATAAAACAATTGTACAATCTTTCTATTTTTATCAACACTAGTTGAGACCTATTTGCCGTTTTTTACAAACTACCGACAGATCAAAACTATATGTTGTGACGGTTTATATACCCGGAAGATAACAACAATCTCAAGAGTGTATGGACTAAAAATTCAAGGAAACTGTTATCTAGTTATTGAATAATATTATTAATTATTAAAACAATAATAACATTTGTTTTATTTGTAAACTTATAATAATATGTAATTTTAAAGTTGTCTAATACTATGAAATTATTATTGAATTATAATTCAATAGTATTAGACTCTATTGAACGGAAATCATTGCAAACAATTAATAAATGTTTATAGTTTAATTATTAAATGAAATAAACTAACATAACATGATTGTTTAATAACAATGTTTATAACAATTATACACATTTTTATTTGTTGTGTCTGCATTTTGTTTTGTACTTAACCAGTTTATTTTATTTTTATAAATACAACTTGCATGTAATAAAAACAAGAATATTATTAAAAGATTATCTGTATTAAAAGAATAATTTCACCTTAATATTGGATTTGTAATCAAATTAGTAAAACTTTTACTATAAAAATAACCCTAGTTTTAATTGGCTCTATTTATTTAAGTCTCGATAACATTATTATTATTATTCAGAAAATGAATTAATAATATTAATTCTTGCATTTATATTAAAAATAACAAAAAAATCTTGTAATTAATGAATATTTTTTTATAAACCAAATTCATATTATTTTTGCATATTTTTATAATAAATTTATTTTCCGGTAAGTATTAATTAATATTTATTATGTACAATAATCCAGCCGTCAATCACGTTGAATCATATCAAAAAGTGAACTAGATGTTTTATTTTTATTAAATATAATGTAGAGTTAAAGTAAAATCAATCTGAGTTTTCATTGAGTGGACAGCAGTTTATAAGATCAGTATTTATATTACGTTATATATTTAATTATAAGTAAGTTTAAAATTAGAGATTAATAGTGGTAATTCATATTTAATAATAATTACTATTTATATAAATCTATTGTTTACCATATTTATTAAACAATCATAACATCATCTATTAAATTAGTAAAATGTCTTTATTTTATTTTATATGACTTTTAATAATGGTTGTTATAACGAGTTATAAATTGATATTATATTAAATTTAACTGAAAATTTTGAGTAATTACATAGCCAGGATTGATATAAATTAGAGAAAAGTAATTTTATTATGACGTGGTTATTATAGTTTAGGCCTCTAAAGGCCTAAAAATATCAATCAAGGCTATATCTATTAGCAAAATTCTAACAAAACATTTTGAGTAATAGATATTACTTAAAACATGTAATTTATTTAGTTATTGTTGTGTGAAATGTCTGACTGTGGAAGTGATTTGTTGGGCACGTCTTCATCGGTAGAAGTGAACGGTTGGACCGTTTGGTACGAGAGGTTCGGTTCGGGACCCAAACCGGTACTTCTTTTATCGGGTGCTATCGGTATGTTATAAAGTTTATAATATAATATAAATACTATTGAATTTTTGT